CCCCCAAAACCCCAAAACCCCTGTTGAATAAACTAGAAGGAAAATAAGAATAGCATTAATACTCGTTATTTTAAATATTTAAATTATAGATTTACAATGAAGACATTTATGAACATAACTAACTATCGATCTAAAAGTAATAATCCCCTTGGACCATCTAGCTAGTAGTAATAGAACTTAGCTACTAACTAGCAATTTGTAAACAGACTTCCTCCACAAAGTAATTTCTTTATCTTTATTGTACAGAGCCTAGTAATAATCAGAATCATCCGCCCGCATTAATGGGAATAGGAAATGGAATTTAACCATAAGCTTTTAATAGCAATAATGTCAAGCAAAATCAAAATTACAATTACCAGGATCAAAATTAAGCTAAAAATTTTGAGTACAGCAGGATCAACAATCAAAATTCTTAGCCTTCATCCTAGCAATCTACTAAAGTAAACTCTACTAATTCATTCTAATAAGCACAGATAGTAGGAAACTCTTTTATAAAGCAGTAAATTCTTACAGGGAATCAACCAGTTTACGCTCATCATAAAAAAGACTAGAATTCCCTTTCAAAAATAAACTCCTCCAAAGAGATGACCAAGGAATAAATCTCTACTGCCTATACCAATGAGAACACCCATCCTTCAGATTCAACATAGACTTCGAACAATAACAGTAATTTCAAAGACCATGCAAATAAAACATAAAATACTGTTCATGGCTCTGGCAACGGAAATAATTAAGCAACGACTAGTTATAATGCATCAAATAATTAAATTGTCATCCATGTATGCGATGAAAACAAGAAAATGAATAAGGACTTCAAATGCGACAGAAATCTACTTCTAAACAATATGAAGTACTTTGAGAAGTATCTAGCTGACTCTAAAAATCTGGATGACATTGATATAAGTGTTCATTGTGATATCAATATTTTCGATTGGCTTATGAGATTCGTTCATAAGAAAGAGCCGAAGCTTGAAATCAAGAATTCAGTGTCTATATTGATATCATCTGACTTCCTTTAAATGGCTCCTTTAGTCGAAGAATCAGTTCAATTTGTTACTAAAAATCTTTAAGATATTATTGCGCTACCAATTGATATGAATTGTTTAAACAGCTCATTGATTAAGAAACTTGCAAGATGCATTACTATTGAAGATCTTGATAATTTGAAGGACAAAAAAGATAAGCTAACAAGCAAATTATACATGAAAAAGCTGGAGTTATTGTTTGAGGATGAGGCTAATATGTTACATAGATGTGTCTACTGTGATTAATTGTACACATCAAGCTAAAGAGAATGGATGACTTGTCCAAAGGCCAAGATTTTTATTGATATCTATGGCACTGTCATTGCCTAGCACGTTTCTGATAAGACTTGGGATGTCAACAAATTTGTAATGTTTTTGAGATAGAAATCTGTGCCTTGGAAGGACATTTTTATGAAAATTTATTCAAGATTGTAGGAATTCACATGCACAGACTGTAATTAAAGGTTCGTTGGAGCTGAAATAAATCATTGTAGCTATCATCCGATGAATCCAAAGTTCTCATTTGGATCAAATAATGGATAGTAAGTTAATCTATAGTAATTTATTCATAGTTACCCCTGCTGTAATGCCTAAGCCTTAAGGTTTTCAATATAAATAAAAAAATAAGGGTGCACATCTAAAAATCATTCAATAAAAACACATTCACCAAGAAAAACATAAGCTGATATCTAAAAGGTAGTTATATATTTTAGTTTCATTCTTATTCTAGACATTTGACCTAATTATGAAACATTTTACTGAGGTCTGTGAACCTTACGAATTTGAAAAATCTAATGCTCACACAGGTGAAACAGAAGTAGTCAAGAAACTTACTGATTGCATCAATTCAGAGAGATCATTGATGAAATTTGTCAAAACATTTTTGAGTTAGAAAGAAGCAAATAAGGATGAGGATTAGGATGAAGATGAAGATGCTGCTGATGAATCTAGTGAAGATGATGATGCATGTGACAACTTAAACTCAGAATTACTAGTTTAGCAATAACAGACAGCTGCGATATTAAGCATCAAGAAAAAGAGAAAATCAAAATACAAGGAATGGCGTATGGACACAATGAGGACTGATGATTTCAATCAAATGAAGCTCATGACCAAAGAACTGAATAAACTAAGAAAAGAGGAAAAATACACATTCAAAAAGCAAAGCACTCTTAGAAATTAAAATAAAGAAAAAAATGGTGCACAATCAGCTGGTACATCTGGCATTGAAGGAGGAAGACCTCAAACAGGCAATGTAAATTCTACCAGTACCCATATTAGAAACAGAGTTTAGTAACACTACTCCAAAGCCAGATAGAATAAAATTAGAAAATGAATATAATTCGCAATTCTTATTTTAATTATACAACTATTGTCAACTGTTTCTAAAAATTTTTCTTTTCGGGGTTTTGGGGTTTTGGGGTTTTGGGGTTTTGGGGTTTTGGGG